ATGTGTGATATTTTTGATTGTTTCACTCAAACTGTACAACCAAATCACAGGGTTTAAAAGTTCACAGTTCAGGTAACTAATTCAACGGTGCTAAACCCTCACGAGAGGTGACTGGATTTCAGACAGGTTTGATATTCTTGCAACTAGGGATTCGATGAAATTTTCTTAATCGATCTTCGGAAGAATTAACGTTCGATAATCGATTAATCATTAACGTTTTTATATTAAAATGATCATCATTATTATTACCATCTGCACTACTAATCTGCATAAATAAATTCAACTTTACGACATATAAACCGTAACGTATCTAGAGCCACATCAATCTGTTTGAGATTATAATGTGTTTAATTCAGTTTTGTGCAACTCTCACAGAAACAAAACTCTCACCTGGCAAAGCTTTTTCCCACTGGACACCGAAATATGTGCTGCTTTATACACTGTGCACATGGCCTCCCACTTGTCCCGAACGCAACGAAAAGCCTGGAATTTCTTGTACAAGTCATCGTTAAATACGCATTTGTGCTTCAGTACGTTGCAGACAAACCGACTGTTTGTGTCTCGCTCCTTCTGAGTGCAGAGAACTACATGTACGGACATGCTACGCACAACAACCTACATTAGGTTTGTCGATTAAAATTAACGTAATCGATGAAATTCTTAATGATCAATTATCGATTAATCGACTAATCATGCCCATCCCTACTTGCGACCTACGATTTCTGACCGAGAGCAAGTCGTGAGGTATTAATCGGTTCTCGTTACCCCATGTTTACTACACGAAGCATGACACACGATTAAGCACAAGTGAAAAATTGGCTCAAAAATAGCCAAAACTCACACAGTGTATGCCTGGTTTAAGGAGTCTGACTTTGGATCAAAAGAGGGAGGATTTGAATCGCTTTGTGGTTATCAGGGTGTGCTTGACTTTTGAATGTTTACAGAAGAGAAGAGAACGTGAAAGGGCACTGCTGGAAACCTAGGATCTCCTGTTTACAAGACAGGCACTTTGACCAGCTAAGCCACAGCACCTACACTTTCTGATGTGGGCATGAAAGAAAACTAAAATTTGAGTAATTGGCATGTTGTAAATAACAGAGTCGGACAAATTATCCTGCTCATTTGCAATCTAGAAACTCAAAGCCAGCCATGACCATGTGGCCCAATAAATAGGAAGATTGAAGGTTCAAATTCCTTCGTGGTTTTTGGCGCATGCTTGATTTTTGAATGTTTAGAGAAGAGAACAGAATGCGAAAAGGCATTGCTGGGACTGAAACCTAGGATTTCCTGTTTACAAGACTGGCACCTTGAACATGAAAGAAAGCTAAAATTTGGGCACTTGGCATATTGTAATTAACTCAGACAAATTATTATTTTCATTCACAATCTAGGAAATCAAAGCTAACCATGTCCATGTGGCCTAATGGACAAGGCATTTGACGTTGTATGAGCAGCTTCAGTGTGCAAATACCTTCATGATGATTGATGGTTTTTAAATGTTGACAGAAGAGCACAGAATGTGAAAAGGCGCTGCTGGGACTTGAACCCAGGATTTCCTGTTTACTAGACAGGCGCTTTGACCAGCTAAGCCACAGCACCTGCACTTTTTGATGTGAGCATGAAAGAAATCTAAAATTTGGGCACTTGACATACTGTTAATAACAGAGTCAAATGTCCTGGTCATTCACAAGGTAGACAATCAACGTCAACCATGACCATGTGGCCTAATGGATAGGTTCAAATGCCTTCACGGTTATCAGGGCAGGTTTAATTTTTTTATGTTTACAGAGGAAAACAGAATGTGAAAAGACACTGGTGGGATTTAAACCCAGGATCTCCTGTTTACAAAACAGGCATTTTGACCAACTAAGCCACAGTACCTCCCGCAATCATACAAGGCACATGGATGTAGACGAAAACCCTGTATGTACAGTGTAAAAAGGGCCCAGTTATACAAATCCACCAGCACATTCAAAATTAGACCATGACAGCACTTTGATGAGGACGTGGACTAACAGATACGGAATCTGACTTCAGGCGAGAAGGCTCAGGGTTTGAACCGCTTTGTGGTAATGGTGGATTGTTTTAATGGTTACCCCCACAGAACAGAATGTGAAAAGGCCCTGCAGGGTCTTGAACCCAAGATCCCCTGTTTACTAGCCATGCACTTCAATTAGCTAAGCCACAGAACCTACACATCCTCATTGAAGCATTAAAGAAGGCTAAAATTCAGGCGCTTGGAGCATTGTAAATAACAGAGAAAGACCAATTATCTTGCTCATTCGCAATCTAGGAAATCAAAGCCAACCATTAAGGATAGGTTTGAATCCCTTATCAGTGTATGCTTGATTTTTTATGTTTACAGAAGAGAATAGAATGTGAAAAAAGGCACTGTTGGAACTTGAACCCAAGAGCTCCTGCTTACAAGACAGGCACTTCAACCAGCTAGGCCACAGCACCTACGCTTCTTGCCAAGAGCATGAAAGAAAGCTCAAATTTGAGTAATTGGCATATTGTGAATAACAGAATCAGACAAATTATCCTGCTCATTCGCAATCTAGAAACTCAAAGTCAGCTTTGATCATATGGCCTAATAAATAAGGCATCTGAGTTCAGATCAAAAGATTGAGGACTCAGTCCCTTGGTGGTTATCAGCGCATGCTTGATTCTTGAATGTTTACAGACGGGAATCGCTTTGTGATAATCAGAGTCTGCTTGATTGTTTTGATTGATCTATTTAAACTCATTTTGTCATTTTTTGATGCGTATTGTCAGAGAATCAGGAAGTGCGGTGTTACCATACTAATGTAATGTAATGTTTGCTTTCCAGAAACAGTAAAATTCCTCTCTAGTCTCTAAAAGTTGTGAATAAACTCATCGCGGTGAGTAATTAGGACACTCTGAACGCACAAGGTAAGTGAGGAATGACTTTGGACGAGTGCAAAGTGTTTCAAATCAAATAGTTCTTAAGATGATAAAAATCTGGACTGATCTCTCTCCTTGAAGATCTATTTTTGCCTGTGAGATGAACCCAATAGAAACGAGCAGACTTCTTCATTGATACATTAGCAGTCTGCCCACACTACTACCCCCTCTCCTCTCCTCTCATCCCTTCCCCTCTCCCCTCTCTCCTCTCCCGGGCTCTGGCTTAGCTGTCATGGAGCTGTTCTACATTCAGGCCTGCATAACTCCTCTTAGTGCTGTGGAGCAGATCTGTCACGAGCGCCCCTCTCCCCATCGCACAAGCTCATCTCCGTCTCTCCGTCGCCCACTGTGCACCCAGGAAACCTCGCCCATGTAAAACTGCAGGCTGGGGCTTGTCTCCGTGCAGCTCTGTGCTCACATCTATTATTCAGGCTTTTTAAACCGCTCACGCCTTGGTATTTTGCTGCGCTAACAATAGCTTACGATATTAAATGTGTATAGAAAACTCCTTGCCTCTTATCTTATCTTAAAAATGCACTGTGTAACTTTTCGGGTGGAGGGTGCGTCAAACTTTGTCGAGATTGTTTCCATGGAGATGTTACTGGTTTGTCTGAAATGTTTCGCAGAGTGATATTAAACCGTTCTATCTTCATTGAGACCAAACCAGGCCAAATTACAGGTCAGATCTGTGGAGAGGCGACCCCACTCACAGTCAGAATGCTTGTTTTTTTTAGGTATTTTTGAGGAGTAAAACCACCTGTAGTTGAACACATGTAAGGTAGCAGGTGACAGACTCCCAACTAAAAAGTTACACAGAGCACCTTTACATTTAACACAATTTCAGGGGGTGACAATGTTCCATTTTTCAAAAACAAAAACTCTAACACTGACAAAGAAATAAAATAAAAACTAGGTAAGTTAAAGGGGCAGTCTGGAATTTTGGACATAGGACCTCATTTCCTAGTGAGCCAGAGTGTCGGAGACGTGTGGAGACACTTTTTGGAATATTCCATCCAGTCCTTTTATTTGCAGAGGTCGCTGGTGCTAGGCTAGTGCATGTCAATGGCCATAGTTATCCTCCAGTCTTACCCACTCCACAAAATGCCCAAAGCAAATCTATAATTACACCAGACTGTTGGTGTGAATGTCTGTTTTGATAGAATAATTTTAGAAGTAAAACTAACCTTGCATTTGAAGGATTTATGTCTGAGCAGCAGCAGTGAGTTGTACTTCCTGATAGAAAGCTTGGCAGCGGCGGACTGATATATGAGAAATTAGTCCCTCAACGTGTGACAATTCAAGCGATGCAAGGCTAGTTTTATTTCAAACATTATTCTATCAACACAAACATTCACATGGACAGTCTGGTGTAATAATAGATTTGCTTCAAGTGTTTTGTGGAGTGGGTAAGACTCAGAATAACTATGGCCATTGACATGCACTAGCCTAGCACCAGCAACAAATGCAAATACAAGGACTGGATGGAATATTCAAAAAGTGTCTCCACACGTCTCCAACACTCTGGCTCACTAGATAATGAGGTACTATGTCCAAAATTCCGAACTGTCCCTTTAAAATGACTTAAATTAAGACCATTTTACTTTATCTGAGTAGATTCAATGTGACAAGTAAAATTATCTACCAATGGAATACGTGTGTTTTTCTTAATTCAGGCAACATTCAATTTTGTTTCTTATTTTAAGTGCAAAAAGTTGTTGTTTTTCTTCTGTGTAGCAAGATGTATTTTCATCTTTTCAGTACAAAAAGTCTTATTCCACTGGCAGATAATTTTACTTGTCAAGTGAAATTTACTCAAATCATGATAAAACTTTCTTAATTCAAGTCATTTTATTTTGACTAGATTTTGCTTTTTGCAGTGGACATTTTGGGTGGTCTTTACGTGATCCTGGCGACTTTATATCACTATTTTGTCTGTAAACGAATTCCTAACATGGAATTCAAGCTTCATTTGACTGGAGTTTAGCACTATGGGTGGCGTCGCTGTTACACTCCCTTAGTCCACTTGTTTATACAGTCTACGGTCCAGGCTCTTTAATCCACCACTAAAGTCTCACCGCTGTAGCTGGTATCTGTGCCTGCGTCGTGGTGTGCGCCGGGGTCCTCACAGGGGTCAGGCTTCACTGGGCCCGTGCACGCCTCAGTGTCTCCGGCCGCTATCATTACGCCGAATCAATTTGGACGGATTACACGTGGGCTTCCTGCCTCATTTCCCAGGGCTGCCTTTAAATGGGATGTTATAGTCCATAAAACATTATTGTTGGGCGCCGTGTCAGCTGAAAGCGCCAAAGTGTGAACTCCTCATTTGAATTCTGCACCGAGAGACGTGTTTTTCCTTTTTTTTTTATTATGGAAAGCAGCAGGAAGCCGGCGTTATCTGGAAGCAGCATGTCATCCAATCACTGCGCACGGAGCGGCTGAGGTGAGGAGGAGCATGGAGGATGGCTTCATAAAAACAGCATTTCTGGAACCAAGGCTAGAGCCATATGAATCGACTGTATGTATGTATGTATACTGTATGTGTGTATACAGGCAATGTCACCTGTTGGAATCTGGGTTTAAAGGCAGATCCTCATGAATACTGAGTGAAGAAATGTGTTATTTAGAGCCTTGTCACAATCTGCATGTAGGTCTGCAATATACATATATATACATCTCTGCATACACCCCTACCTTGCCTAACCAATTTTTTGTGGAAAACACAGATTTTTCCTTGTTTAAAACTTGAGTACCATATTTTTCGGACTGTAAGGCGCACTTAAAATCCCATAATGTTTTGAAAAATCCCCTTATAACCCGGTGCACCTCATGTATTAATTCTGGTTGTGTTTACTGACCTCGAACCAATTTTCACACATATTCCACTGAGTCGTGTCCTTTAGTCTGACAGAAGCTTCAGCGCACAAGAAGCGAGCTGTTTTTTTTTTTTTTTTTTTTTTTTAAATCACTTATAGTTTATGCAGATTAGCCATGTGGTTTTAAGTTTTGTTTCTGTAAAATGTAAACAAATGTGCGCAAAGCTGTATTAAACACGTTATTTCTCAATCTATATTTGAGTCCTCCTCATAGGAAATAAAAAAAGTCGTCAGCTGTTTGTTTCACTTAATGTGCCTTATAATCTACACCTTATGTATGAAAATAGACGAGAGAATTCAACATTATTGACATTGCTCCTTATATAAAATGTCCTCATTAATGTTCAATAATGTTCACAAATTTATTTTGTGATTTACAAATAATGTCTATAGACTTGGGTTGCGAAGGTTTGTGACTTTTAAAATATGGGTCCCCAGAAAAAAAAAGTTTGGGAAGCACTGATTTAGCCAGAGATAAAGCAGTGTGGTACATTATAACTGGTGCTGTTCTGATGCCTTTTGTTTTCTCCGATCCGATACCGCATTAGTGTACTCCCTGACCCAAGGCTGATACTCCCTAGTGTACTTTTTTTTTAGCTTAAAATTCTGACCTGTCCTCTAGTTAAACTTTAAACCAGGGGTGTCAAACTCATTTTGGTCCGGGGGCCGTATCCAACCTATTTTGATCCCAAAGGGGCCGGATCAGAAAACTCATGGCATATATACCCCAAAAATAACAATAAGGTCAAATATTTGTGCAGAGAAATGCAAATCTATTACAAAAATCATTTTTAATTGATGAACTCTTTCTTTTACAAAAGTTATAATATTATGAACAACGTGAAACATTAAGAAAAATGCAATTTCAACACAATGTTTTAACATGAACTCGTATGCAAATAGGGATAAGTAAATTTTCTACTTTTCTCATTTTTGACATTTTTCTGATGAAGGTGTCACGGTCAACGGTCAAAACGATCGTCTTTTAAGAGCGTTTGGAAAGAGACAAGTCTTCATTTGTGCTGCTCTGGTGGGAGGGGCCACGTACAGAGACACCGGAGACCAAATTACCAATATTTAAATAGAAAATATAATTAAACTATTTTAGTAGAAAATCAGCCAAGGGCCAGATTAAAGGTCTTGGAGGGCCGGATCTGGCCCCCGGGCCTTATGTTTGACACCTGTGCTTTAAACTATGGATAATTTCAGTGTTGTGATGACTCATCCATTAACCATTAACATTACAATCCAGTTAGTAATGACATAAAGTTGCATCTGAATTCTTAGGCATCACAAACATACGTGGAGTGTTTTGTTTCATTCACACGTTTAACTCACAAACTCTGCAGATGTAGTTCTTCTGTCATACACAAAACACCCTGTTCCACCTTGTGATGTCACTTCACTCCGCTTTTAGACTCCATAAACCTTCACTAGAACCATTTGGATGATTGAAGTAAAGGTAAAAGGAAGCTGTTAGCTGAAAAACTACCACTACATGACGTCATAAGATGGAGCATTTTGAGCTTTGGGGATGTAGACAGACTAATAATAAAGAATTACTCAAACATTTGTGAATGAAACAAAACACAATTCCAGGTATTTGCTGCAATAACAACGTTGTAACATGACTAAAAGCTCTCAAGAGTCCATTTTGCATAATATAGGACCTTTAAACTTGGCTGCATTTCATTCAATTAAAGGTCCACTTTCTGGAAAGCTTTCTGGTGGAGAGTGGGCACCAGGCCAAGTCTTAGGTCAGATCTGCGGAGAGGCGAACCCGCTCAGAAACAATGTAATGGTTTTCACTGTATTTTTGAGCAATAACTCATGTGTAATGAAATGCAAGCAACATAGTTTTATATACATTCAAAGCCATACTGACAACTTTCCCAACAAACAAATTACATCTCAGAGGAAACGGGCAGGTGAAAGGCTACATAGTCCACCTTTACCACTATAACCATGGCGATTGTATACAGCCCTAATTGGACATAGTGAGGCTGCTTGTAGACAGATACGCGTTGCTCTCGGAGAGTATGGATGCACTGATGGTCTGTGCTGAGCTCCAGGTAAACAGACGGAAAGGGAGTGAGACTCAGGGGAGGAGAAGCACTGTCAGGCCCAGAAAGAAGAGCCCTCCCCTGGGTACGCGCCGAGAGACGGAGGACTGGAGCTCCAAAGGTTAACGAATCTGTTTGTCATTAGCGGGCGGCGCTTACTGTGAGCTGTCAATCAAACCACCCGGGAACAAAAACATCATTACATGTGAGCTCCTCCATCTTACGGCCAGTTGGCTTTCAAACGCACCACTGTTGTTGGTAATTATAGGGCATCACAGGAGCAATTTTGAAACCTTCATTTGCATGGATCTATTGTGTCTTGAAAACCAAGTCTTAACTGAGAGTGGGAGATGTAGACAGCCTAATGATTCAAAGTTACTCAAACATGTGAATGAAACAAACACAACTCCAGGTGTGTTTTTGATGAGGTAACAACATAGCAACATGACTAAAAGCTCAACTCCCTGGATGTGTGTGGCATGTGGAGGCGTCGATTGAAAAGGTTGGCAAGTCAACACTTCACTCAGGCTACGTTTACACTGAAGCTAATCACCGTATCACTGTATCACCGCATCAGAAACAATTTGCGTCCAGACACTTTGTTTCTGTGTCCGCAAGCCTTCCCTATCCACAAGGCTTTGACCATATTTGTTTACAGTTTACAGAAACAAAATTTGAAAGCGCATGGCTACTTTGCATAAACTGAGCGCTCAAAAAACAGCTCGCTATTGTGCGCTGATGCGGTTCAGCTTCTGTCGGACTAAACGACACGACTCAGTGGAATATGAGTGTTCTTTCTGTGACAGAGGGGTGTTCTGCTGATGGTGAGTCTGTTCTGTGCTTCTATCGCGTTGTAGATGGTTCATGTTAAACTTTTCACAGATTATACATCTGCAGGTCATACGCACAGACCATATATATAAATGGACATATATTCTAGCCTCTTAGTGTTTGGGCAGTGAATTACTTCATGGTGCACAGATCTACATCAACACATCAGCGTACTCAGATGAATTCGTGGGAGCTAATCTTTCCGTCTCTGGAGTCGTTTTCCATCGGATCAGTGTGGACAAACACTGCATCTGCAACGAAAACGACTCGAATATGTACTAGTGTGGATGGGGCCTCAGTGACAACTTTGTGTTCCTTTGGCTTTAAATGTCCGCATCATTTAGTCACTGAAGACATCACATAGACTTAACAACAGCACAGGTGTTCACCTGTCACGACTGGGCTCTGCACAAACGACCTGTGCCAATGATGTGGACTGATGAGTGTCTGGAGAGCGTGTGATGCTCTGGACGAAACAAATTGAATCATGATTTTGATAAGGATGATCATTTTAAGGTGCTGAGAGAAGTGGGTGTGAATGATGATGACATTAAAAAGCCATTCTCTTTGTACGTTTGATTTTATGAACTGTAACATCAACCTGCCCAGAGACGAGGTGGAAATGAGCACTGGTACTGTAACCTTGAACAAAGCATCTCTCCTGTTAAGGTTAATGTATATTGTGCACTGTCCTTTTCTCATTAAATAAATAAACTAAACTAATGGCGAGATCGGGACTCACGTTTTAGTTGTTTCAGTCACATCTTAGTCATATATGTGTCTTCAGGTTTTACATAGTCCTACAAGTAAAAATAACACAGAGGACCGAGAAACTATGCAGATTTCTACAGCCTCAACAAGCAGAACACTATCTCTTCAAGAGGAGGTGTTTTCTTCATTCGAGAGACACATGCTGTAAATAAGAAGCTGCGAACGGTTCATCCTTAAAATTGAACAGATGTCGGATTTATGATCTGATGATCCAGGCAATGGTTCGGTGAGATCTTGAAATCTCCATAACCAGCATACTGTGTTTCCCATTAACAGATTGTAATGGTCTTCCACGGTCTAAAAGGCATATTGTATTATCATATTATAACATATGAATATTTTGTATCATCATTTTGTAGATTTATTGAGATTGCATTGCACAGAATCTTACAACAAACAATAAGAGATTGACTTGAGCTTCAGGAGCAGGACCATGGCTCAACCGCCCTCTCCTCTTCACCAGCGAACCACAGCTCACTTCGACCACACCTCTAGTTTCCCAGAAACTTATTTGTAGCAGCCTTTCCCATCGTTTGTCTAGGCAACTCGACCTCACCCTCCCACCCCCTATCTTGTTCGTCTTTCAGGTATAAGACGCCTACGGGGGGAAGGGGTCCCGTTCCGGCTGGTCCAACTGAAGATT